TTCACCTCCAATTTTATTTTCTTTCAGTTCTTTTACTTTACTGAACTATATTCATTGTGTTTACTTACAGATACTGTATATATAGCAAACAGAGCTCTTTATAGTACAAAAGTAAGCTATGTTCCCTCTATTATAAATCTTTTGAGGGGAAACTGATATTCATGAATAAAAGTGAAAAAACACACTTAACTCTCCTTATACATGGTATATGTATTTTGGAAAAAAAAATCTGATGTATGTACAGAATGAAGTGCCTCTTTTTAATGGAAAAAATAGAAAAAAAGCAAATAAACTTCATCTCACATGAGTATACTATAAACTTTCCTTCCCTGGAAATCTACACATGTCTATTTCCAAAATTGCAGAAAAAAAATGACAACAAACATTTGCACATCTCAGTTTAGTAAGTAACCACAGAGCATACTACGAAATGCTACATTTGTCAACTTAACACCATACAAAACTGGAAGCAATCTTTAGAAAGGGATAAGAAGTAGCAGAATGACAGAAAATCAATGATAAGGATATGGTAGAAAGAGAAGAAAGTAGAGGAGAGAATGAGACAAAAAAGTGAAGATTAATAATATTAAGAAAAATACCCAGAACATGGAGAAGCAGCAAATGGATAAAAAATATATATACATAAGCAGCATATATCCCAAATGCACAAACTGTTAAAGTCACTTATAAAGGTTTTAAAATTACATATTGGCAAGTTTCCTGGTCCATACTTAAGTGTGTGTTTTGCACCCATCACCTATAAGCTATGACATGATATTTACTGAGATGTTTCTTTTGTTGAAAAATGATATATAAAAATCCTATACAATAAGCATATGATCATAAATGAAAGCTTTGTAAAAGGGAAAAATATACAGTTGCTACATTTACTCATATTAACTATCAATTTGTAATACATAGAATTAAAAAATTATACGAAGTAAGCATTGCAATGATCTCATTTAAAGTTTTAAAAAATTCTTCGAGATATTTAATAAACATGGCACCATTTTTAACTTACCAGAGAATAATTACACATATGGTATACTTATTCCAACACCATATTTTTTTTTTTTAATAATATAAAACAAAATAATAAAATAAAAAATATCAACTGCCTAATAAAAAAAATAACATGACTTTTCTATTCATTCTATGGAAAAAAAATTCTGTTCATATTCTGATTTATTCTCACTCTCATCTTTTTTGCTTCTGTTCTCTCCATCCCCCCTTCTCACAATCTACTTCTATGACCCCCCCCACCCCCACTCTTCACACTTCTCTTTTCCTGCATCCATTCTTAACCCAATGCCGACGGACATGACATGTACGTGTATGCCATGCCCAATGTTTAATTATTTTTACACTTAGATGGCTTCACTTGTACTAAGTCACCAAAGAGCCAATTACGAGTACTGCCTGTCTCGCCCATCTTACTTTTTCTTTGATTTAGGAAAATATTTTATGTTATCCTATTTTGCTGTTACTACTGTTTATATCATTATAGTATTTATAAAGTTTATAATAAAAATAACACCATCGATACTCATAGCACTAGTAAAAAATACATTTTCCCGCCAATTCAAGGAAAGGTGAAATCAGGTAAGGCTAAGCACTAGCAGAGCCATCTATGTGCAGAGACATTTCACAAAAAATATAAAAAATGAGTACAGCTTTTTCCCCAAATCTTATTCATTTTCCCCAGCGGCATTGGGTTAAACTTTGCTACCTTCATTTTTTCAATTCTTCATTTGGTCAATTTTCTGATCTCCTTTCTTCTTATGAGACTGCCATATCAGTTCTAATTTCACTTTTAATCCAAACAAGATCTCATATAACAAGAAACATAAAGCAACATCAAATCTATAAACATTTGCATTTACTATTTACAATTATTATCACTTAAAATTAGCAATTAAACACCTAAACAATTAGCAAAAGAACAAAAAATTGTAGATGTAAATTAACTATGCATAGAAAAGGTTTTAATCAACAATAGTTATAAAGTTCCATTAAATATCAAATACCACATGGTCACTGGAATCTAAATCAATTGCCTGGACTTACGAGCAGGAAATCTAGTCCTAATCAAGTCTTATTCTTTGGGAACACATTCATAAATATTTTCATAATTCTTCACCTTATTCTGTAGTATCAGTAGTCCTTATTTTAATCAGCAATATCCATAATGTAATCTTTGATATCTAGACTTAGTAACGTTTTTAAAACTACTCTTCGATGACAGGATCTAGCCTCAAAGAAAACAGTAGAATGGAACTCAAAAGCCTGCTATGATATGCATAAATTTCCTAATCCTCTGATAAGTGTCATGGATGAGAATCTGATCAGTTCTTGATTTCACAGCTTAAGTCTTGGCAATTTTGGCAGTCTTGGATTTCAGTGGACAAGTGGATTTAAATCACCGAGAATTAATAATCACAGTCCATTAATCAGATATAAATATGTGTGGCACCTGAGAAAAATGTTGATTTATTATCATATGAAAATCTTGCAAATGGTTGAAACTGCATTATGCAATATCTATGTTCTATGGCCTTTGTATATCTATCTATATATACAGGTACAGATATACATCTGCATAAATACAGTCACAAACAAACATACATACATATGTATGTATGTATGTATGTATGTATGTATGTATGTATGTATGTATGTATGTATGTATGTATGTATGTATGTATGTATGTATGTATGTATGTATGTATGTATGTGTGTGTGTGTGTAACATTATCTTTGTTTCACAGAACTCATAAACATAATTTTCTATTTTTATTTAACATATGGACCACCTTGTTTATAGGAAGAAAAAAATATATAACTATAATACAAATTACAATGTAATAAACATTAATGAATAAATAAGCACAACTCTGAGCACATGTCTCCCAAATTTAAGCTGAAGCACAGGTTTTACTGTTGGTATTGTCATGTTCTAAAAAAAGATGATCTCTTAAAGCACAACATACTTTGTGACTTACTTTCTTCTCCAAAATCTACATGAATACTCCCAAATGTATAATTATTGTATCTCTTCAAAGACCTAATCATCCATGTATTCATAATAATACCTTATTTGTTCTAACTATCAAAAATGATTGAATTGTAAACAGACAATGATAAAAATCTTGTACTTCCATAGCATCATTTTCTGATTCAAGTAAAAAATTCATCAGGCAGTGTCAAAAGATAATAATAAAATAAAGTTTCCACAATGTCTAATTCACTATGACTTTAGGAGTACTTTCCAAGTATCCTATTCGCTTAAGTTTCCATCAAAACAAAAAATTCTTTTCCTATTTTTTTTCAAACACTAGAAGAATCTACCTGCCACCCCCACCCTTCCCTAAAAAATACACATATATTAATTCACATAAAATGCTCAAAGAGAGGCAACTGACAAACGTGACTCAACCACACTCGACTCCTCTACTTCAACTTGCTGACTTTGACCGGAGCTGACGAGAAGAAATTCAAGAAGTAGGGGGCCTCTGTGTTGGGGTAGAAGGTGCTAGGGGTGACGTTGTAGACTCCTGGCACCACATCCATGACCTCCAACACCACAAAGCCCGATCTGAAATGCAGTTTTGGTATAGGGGAAGTTATTAGGGGTACACGAGCGTTGGCAAAGGTTTGAATGAGAATGTGTGACTTCATAAACTAGATGTATAATTAGCATTCTGACACTTTTTACCTTCGTCCTCAATCTTTACTGTAATTCTGATAGAGATAAATGTTAATCATACATCTTTTCCAAAATTATTTATACCATTTCATAACTTTTTAATCTTTTTGGTGCTATATTTTGTGACGCTTCCAGTTTTTATTTCCAAAAATCAAGTTAATTTTCAATGAATGCATGAGTTCATGACTTCTCTTCCTTACAGCCATTAATTAAGAAATTATAAAACACTGGACAAGAAACAAATCTGCACCAGGAACAACAAACAAATTAATTTTTATTCATACTTTACACTGGGCACATGAAAAAATTAAATGATTCAGAAATTAAAACCAATTAGTTCATATATAAGAATAACTGAAAAAAATCTTACCTGTAAGCTCCAGTCTGCTTCTTTGCAAAATAACCACTTGCTTCTGTATTCTTTGCCTCTACACATACAATCTCAAAACCAATCTGTAAAAAAACACATATAATATAAAACTGATGATCAGTTTCCTGCATTCTAACAAAGTATGATATAATCATGAAGTAACATCAACTAACTGTATAGCTATGGAATAGATGTAATATCAAAGAATATTAAATGAAGGTACAGCATTAATATATGCTTCACCCTTACGATCTGGGTGATGGGATCATCCTATCATGAAAAAAATGTGACTTGAGGGCCAGGTGATGTGAACATGCCATCATAGAAAAATTTGTCCGAGGATTTAGGTGACAGGCCTACAAGCTACACATCTGAGAGAGAGCCTACTCAAATAACCTTATGCCTGGATTTTGGGCCACGTGCAGGCAGTAAAGCACCTGGATCCAAGGGGTTAATTGATAAGCCATATATTATCCTTGCCTATTCTCAGGTCATCTGAATTTTCATAAGACGACTCAAGCCATACTGATGTGAGTTCTTTTTTTGTTTATAATTTTAATTTTCTCTGAGAACTACAAAAAATACAAATCACTTAAACCATGGGGGATATTTTATTTTCCTTTACATCAGGTGGAATAGGACAAGGAAAACAGCAACAGGAGGAGGAGGAGGAGGAGGAGGAGGAGGAGGAGGAGGAGGAGGAGGAGGAGGAGGAGGAGGAGGAGAAGCAATAAAAAAACAAACAAGGAAGCCAACCTGTATGTCTTTTGGAGCCTTGAGTTCGATTCTGAGAGTTTGCATCTCATGTTCAACCCTAAACTGATATGTTGGGTTGTTCTTGTATGTTGCTGGGTGATTGGGGCATCCCCCTGCATTAGGTCCACTCCAGCGGCCAGTGATCTGTCAGGGTATATGAAATCAAAAGAGGTGAGTATTTTGACCTGCCATTTCTATATATTTTAATCTACTTTTACACTGTTCCCATGGAATATCTGGAAAGTCCCTTAGTGAAGTTTTTAATAAAAATTAGTGCTTGAAGACTTTACTCATCTCTAGTTGAAAAGAGAGAAAAAGGGAATATGATAAAAGCAATATCGGTGACTAATCTACACAAAGGTCATCTCCTAAATTTCTGCATTTCACTTCTGGGTTTGATTTCCTACATAAAACATGACTATCTGACCATACATTCTAAAAACATTTGAAAAACAGAGAGAAAATCCTCACCTCTTGCTTGTGTTTGCAATAATTCTTAATCTTCTGCAAGGTAAAGGGACACGTTGCATAAACCCGCAACGAGTAGTGAATCGTCAGGTGCTTCTCATACTGGGACACGACGAGAGTGAATTTGTGAGAGCCTGGTTCCTTCAGCACCATCTTGCATAGGTAGTGGGGACTGTTGATTCGCACGCCATCAATGAAGGGTGCAGGGTCAACTAGGAGAGAGTGAAAAATAAGATAAATGCTCTTTTACGTACATTGTAAAACTTGTCGTAGCATTCTACTTCTCTACAAATTTTCGTAAAAACAAAATTACCAGTCATAACACAACAATACACACTACAGTAAAGACAAATTTCCTCTTTCTCACATGGGTAAAATATTTTCTTCCCTCCAGTCTTATACACAAGGAGGGTAATATATTCTTTGTTGTTGCGGAAATCCTCTATTTCCGTGATGTGTCGCGTGAGCAGAACCCACACAGCTGTTCCACCTGGAGACTGCACATCTAGCGAATACTGGGGATTTTCTCCTATGTTGTACAAGTCACGTACGGGGCCCGTGCCAGCAGACCAAGTCCTGGTGTGTTAAATGCATCATTATTGTCATCATCAACATATTTATATCAACAACTAATAAAGTTCTTATTCTACTTTACCTTTAAAATTTAGCCAGAAAATGCCCTTAATCTATATTCAAAAAAAGTTTACAAAACAAGTGGCATAAATTTTGTCAAGAAAAACTTATAAAATCAAATTTGTTTCAGAATTAGGGTTAATACAGTGTAGAGCTAAACTGACTGGAAACAAAATAAGGCAAACAATAAGAGCCATCTTTCAACAAATCTCTAGAGGGTATTTTTGATAATCATATTTCTGGTTTAGCATCAACCTAAGTAAATGAGTTACACATCATAGAACTTACTCATGTGTACAATAGGTGTAGGAGAAAAGTTGTGGGTTCCAGTTCATGTATATAACATCATAAAAATGACAAAGGCTATCATAGTCAATCCAGAAGACACCATTATCAAACATCTGTGCACTTTTTGGATCATAGTTGAGGAGCTTGCACATTTCTGGAGTCCAATGTGCCTGGTCCATCTCTGAGTAATTGCCTTTCCAACGGAGATGCGACCAAGGATTTTTCAACATCAGCAAACGTTTCCCCTGTAATAGATGATGAGATGTTATCAGGGTATCATATAAATATAGAGATATCAGTGTATCATAAAAATATAGCAGAAGCCACAGAATATATAATATCCATCATCATGAGGAATATTTTCAGTGACAATTTTTCTAAGCTAAGAACACAATGATTCTCTAATTCCTCAAAAAGATTAAATCATTTACATCTCAGTCATTCCTCAAAGCAAAAATATTGACCTCACCTTGACTTCCTTAATGTCCAGCATGGCATAGGCGTGCGTGGGGACGAGGCCCGCTCTATCCGCCTCCGCGTCAGTCATCTCCCCAGTTGCCACCGTGACTAGAACATCACCTTTGTGGAAACGGTCGATGATTTTCCTGAACGTGGCATCCTTGTTGAATTCCTTGTCTTTGATGGAGACCCTTTCTGGGATCCAGCCAGTAAGGGCATAGAGGTCGATGTTGCTGTTAGAGCCAGGGAAGTCATAGCCACCCATCACCTTCATGTAGGCTTTTTCCACCAAAGAGATCCAGAACTCATTTTTGTTAGTTGAGTAAGAGCAGAGCAGCTCACCGTGTTGTCCTTGAGGTAACTTATCATCTACAATCACTTTTCTTGGGATGCCATTGATGTGCAGCTTAATCATGTACTTGCCGCAGGGGTTGTAGATGGGATCCCCATTGCGGTTTTTGGGAAAGATAATATCTGTAATGAGCCGCTTCTTAAACCTCTTCTCATACAGGGCACTGATGGCAACAGAAGCCACAAAGGAGCAGTCAGACACACATGTCTGCTTGATGCTAAAGCAGTCAACCATCTCAATCATCTTGGGGTCACTGGAGAGGTCCTCTGGTCTCACCCACTGCAAAAAGTTCTTCTTTTGCTTTGGGGCAAGTGCAAGAACTCCATCCTTGTCAGAAAAGGGTATAGAGTATGCAAATTTTTCCTTGAGGTCCACTGCCAGGAAGGGGACATAATCACGTCCATTGATGTTTGAGGTTCTTCTGAGAACGTCCAGCTCCTCTTTTGTGTAGCCAGCACTCCCAGACAGTTGCAACCCACTTTTACTTGAAGGACCAGCCTTTGCTGAAATCATACAGGTTCTTTTGGAGCAAATATAGAAATATCTAAAAAGATAAAATAGTCTGCTTCTTATTTATAAAAAAATATCAAATGATAAAAAAGCCAACAGTAGCCATATTTGGTTATTCTAGTCTAGCAAATAATTAATAAGCAAAAATGCTTTTGTTTGCTGCACACATTAAATATAGCATAATTTCTGAAAAACAACAATACCTTCACTCATAGAATCTCCCTCTTTCACTCTTTCCCTCACTCTCACACACACACACACACACACAAAATTTGTTTCTAAAATTAGGAAGTAATATATATCCTTACCCTGAGGCTGTGGTCTAGAGTTAACCAAGTTGCCTATCCCAAGGGGGGGAATGACACGTGTGGGGGAGACCCGTTGGTGTGCTGGCCTTACAGATGACAGCGAAGCACCTACGCAAACAAGCGCATGAGATTAGCATGTTGTAAACTTTACTGATGCTACACTTTACTATTAAAATGGTGCTCTACAACTGAGCTAAAACAAATGCCAATAAAATAAATAAAGATGCAGACAGAAATTTCCCTAAAAGCCTACCTGTTCCTTCTCCAATGCTGGCTTTTTGCTCCTCTTCAGGTGAACTCTGGGCCTTGAGGACCTCTGCCCGGGTCAAAGCTTGCTCTGCCAGTTTCCTCAACTTGTCTGACATTTTTTGATCCTCTATAGTCTTCATCTGTCATTGATGGTCACACAGTTATTTTGATTATTACAAAACACGCAAACATAAAACCACTACTAAGATGGTAAGAATTATGGCAATACTTTTGGGAATGAATACCTTATGATTAAAAAAAACTTGATGTACCCTAGGAATAACTCAGCCCATCCTAGAGAGTTAACATTCAGAGAAAAAATATCAGTAATATCAAAGGAAGCAATGGAAGATTATCAAAATTCAAATTGCATACACTACTCTTCCATACAAACAATTCTCCTCACAGGTAACTCACATGATAGGGTCATTTATGAAAAAAAATATATCAATAAACAAATAGAAATCATAACTATGCAAACTGAGCAATCAATAAACCAGTGCATACATACACAAGCAGCAATACAATCCACTTACCGCCTCAAGGCATAGCTGAACAGCATTGGTGTAGTGTTCGATGGCTTCCTCCATGTTTCCAGCCTCATCCTCCTCAAATGCTTCTAACAGTAGGAAGTTTGCACGGCTCAACTCACTCTGGCCTCCTTCCATCTTGTTTTGGGCTGACTGGGCTTGACTGTCTGTAAATGAGAAATTAAAAATAATAAATCACGCTACAAGGATCATGACTATAAGATGGCTTTACCTGAAATCCTTACTCTTTTACATGTTAATACTCTTGACCCTATCTGCATATGTTCCCACAATAGCTTAACATCAACTCCATCCAAAAGAACATCAACCATACAAATGCCATACCCAGATTCTCTAGTTGATCAGCTCGGTCTTTGTACTTCGTGGCATGGTCCTGTAGTGCTGGTGTTGACAACCCCAGCGTCATGGCTCTCTGCAGGTACTCCGCTGCCTGTCTATACATGTATATGGCTGCCTGGTGACTTCCACTCGCATCGAAGTGAGTGGCCTGTCGAGCAACTTCTGCCGCATGATTCACATTCTCCTGAGCTTCCTCCATTCTTACCTAGGGTTTGAAAAGCAACACATGGTCATTCTTTAATGTGTGAGAAACTACTGATATCTGGGCACACTTACCTATGCAAGCACTTTATACCTCTTTCCTGAAGGGTTGGGAGTCTGCTGTGGAAATCTAAGATGGATAAATGCATTGTGTGTGTGTGCTTGTATTCATATAGTGCTGGATTAATCATGTGGCATTTGAGGCACAGGTCTATAAGGATATTCCAAATTCTTTGCATAAACATATTTTAATTGTGTTTCACAAAACAATGTCTTAGCAACCTCTAAGATTTGTTTCTTATTCACAATGAATATAATATTAGCAAATGGTTAATGGTTGATAAATGTGCTAGAAATCACAGGTTATATAGCACTATGGTAAAGTATTGTGTCAAAAAGGGTGGAAATTAATATATATATGTACAGGATAGAAACAGATGCTGAAACTGAATATTACATCATAAGGATGGTAAAAACTAAAGGGAACTTTTTCAATTTTTTGTTTCAATTTATGGTTAATAATTAGAAGAAATAGGTCATGTAGCACTATGGTAAAGTATTGTGGCAAAAAGAGTGAAAATGTGTTAACTATCAGGATAATGCTGTATGATAGAATGGTGGTAAAAAGGGTATAGAGAGGGAGCAAATGGAACAGTGGGGATTTATAAAAGGGGATGGGATTTAAGGTATATGACGATCAGATCAAATGGAGAGTATGTGTCTGGGAAGGTAGAGTAACACTATGAGGAAAACTACAAAAGAGGCATTATGAAACAATCAGAGAGTAATATATGGTAAGAAACAATAGTTGTAGAAGTAGGAGAAGAATCCAGAAAATGAGATAAGAGAATGGGAAGCTGGTGAAGTATTGGGAAGAACGTCAGGAGGGGTGGGATCTGGAGAAGGACATTGTGGTGACATAAAGGAGTTACATGAGCATCTAGGTGGGAGTGGTAAGGATAATGGGGAAGGAAGAGGGAATAGTGATGCACATGGAGGAGGAGAGGATGGGGTGTTTTTTTGGAAGAGTGGGAGGAAGAGGGGTAGGGGGAACTTGAGGAGGAGGAGGATGGGTATCAGCAAATACTATGAATAGAGTGATTAGAGGGTGGATGAGGGAGTTGAACATTCTCTTGGGACATGTTTAGAAAGTTTTAGATGTCTTCAAGAGTTTTTTGAGGGGAGCTGGGTGGGGAAGTCTGAGAAACAAAGGTTTTCTTATGTGGAGGAGAAGAGGGAAGATGCCCAAATAGCAAAGACACAGGTGGATGTAGAAGATGTAGTAGAAGATGGATTGGAATGTTTAGATTGTCTGATGTGATAGGTAGAGTGAGTAGGAGGAGTGGTAAGCAAGGAGGAGTGGTAAGCATTGAGGAAATGGTAGAGATTAGAGTATCTGGATTTTGATTGGAAAAGGAATTTGACTGGGGGAGAGAGGGAGTAGAGATAGGATGGTTCAGGGTAGAGGGAAGAGATACTGGGGGAAATGCTGAGACTTCTTGAGAAAATGGGAGGGGAGCAGAGTGAAGTACAGTTTTGGAATAGGTAGAAAGAGAAAATCCTCATCAGCATGCTTTTTGTCTGGCTTCACGTAGAGTGAGGCCTAGTTTGAATCTGAGAACTGCTACCTCAGATTCCAGCTTGTAGGCAGGGCAGCTCCTATAATATACATTATGGGAGCCACCACAATTGGCACACATGCATGACTGAGTAAGAGCAATTTGAATGGTCACAACTAGGTTGGGCACATAAAGGGCAGCGGGCTGTGGAGTGACAGTGTTTGGCTGGCTTAGCCAAAACGCCAACATTTCTGACACTGACAAGGAAGAGGTCGGTATGATAGGACAGGGCAGGACATTCGACGAACATTAACTTCATATGGAAGGTCACGTCTTTGGAAGCATATCTTGGCAATATTGGTGTAGGACATACGCTAGCCTCTGGGAGGAATAGAGTAGCACTGGACTGCCACTGCATCATAGTCAACGAGGCATGCAAGCAAGTCATTTTCACAGTAGAGAAGTCGTAAAGAAGACAATCAATCAGTTCCGGTACAAGTATCAAGGGAGGAGTGAGGTTGGGCAGGAATAGGTTTGCCAGTGAGGTTAGTCAGAGTAGATTGTGCACAAGCTTGATACTCAGATTTAACTGTGACAAAGTGTGAATGATTGGAAAAACTGCTAAAGGGAATGTTGCCTACTTGTTGTTTGAGATATTGCTGAAATAGAACAGTATTGTCAGAATACAGGGCTGTAGGGGGAATCGTACAGAATTGATCCCACTTGGCTGGACCAAAAAGGGTACTCAATAGGTTTGCAGAGTGGAAGCACTAGAAGGAGAAGAGCAGGAGGAGGATGGGGTGGTATGGAGAGAGGTGGTACCCTTGGAAGGAGGACAAAAAGAATTAATAGTAGTAATAAGGGGGGTGGGGTTAGATAATGAAGATGACTGTGCAGTAGGAGATGGAGTGGAGGATGTTGGGAGAGAGGAAGGGGTGTATTCTGAAAATTGAGTAATGATCTGGGTGGATGTTTTGGAATGGATAGAGTTGACAGAAAACATTGAGGAGGGGGTATTTGTATCACTGGTTAGAGCTGTGGTCAAAGGAGAGGCAGGGATCAGGAAACCAATGAAATCAAATTTAGATAGGCTAGTTGATGAAGGGGTAGGCCTTAATACCTCTAATAAGGGTAAAAAAATTTCATTATTGGCCATAGTGAGGTTGAAATAAATGGGGAGAGGAAACAGTCTATCTCTCAGGGTCCCCAGAGGCAGTTCATAATTGACACAGAGCCAGCCTTTCATCCTTTCAGGACAGCTCTCACACCTAAGGAAGTGGACAGAAGGGGATGAAGAAGAGAAGGGAAAGGAAAGAGGGAGAAAAGATCATGCAAATTTAGTTGAGATGAAGGCTGTGGTCCAAGGCAGGGGTGATTCCCTACACTGAGCACCAATCTCTGTCTCCTAAGCCCCCCCGCACCCCCAACACCAACAACGAGTTAGGGATTAACCCAATGCCACCGTGTATGAGAAATCTCTGAGTGTCAAACTGTGGTGATTTCTGGCAATGTCCAGACACTGGGCCCAGGAGTCCGCTACATGTGCTCTGGTACTTTGCTGCAGACTAAGCAGTATGTTATGACACTTGTACTTGTGACCCATTGGGAACAGGTTAAGGGGGAGATCTTAGCAAAGAATACCCTAGTTCTGGCATGCCTTGTCACCCAGATAATAAACTTAGACACACATTAGACCTAGCCAAAAGAGCGATAATGCATAACCTAAATTAATTCCAAAGCAAGGATAGGAGTAACCTGGCTTTACCAGAGCTATGTCTGATCCATTATCCTTCAATAATGTAAATTAATGTATACAGAAAGCTGTGAGTTTCTGCATAAAATACTAATACTAATTTGTTAGAACTGACTGGTTCTCAAAATTATCTGCAGTGCTTTTTCTCTCATACATATTAGTATTCATTTATTTATCTACTGAAAAATTTCTGCCGTGCCAATATCTATAATCATTAGTGGCATATTTAAAATATAGCAATAGGGTAGGGCTTTGTGGCGAAGTCTCCAGGTAAGAAGTTTTTTGTTCATAAGGCAGTGTTAGTAGATTTCATTAATGGTCAATGGTCAAATCAAATGTGCCAGGCATCAAAGGTCACACAGCGTTATGACAAAGTATTGTGGTGAAAAGGGTACAACTGAGCTAACGATTAGGATAAGTGGACAGAAGAAGGGATGAAGAAGAGAAGGAAAAAGAAAGGAGAAGAAAAGAGAATGCAAAATTTGTTGAGGTGAGGGCTGAGATCCAAGGTATGGTTGATCCCTTACATTGGGCCTCACTTGCCATCTCCTAAGCCCCCCAAAACAACAACAAGCAAGAGATTGTGAGAGGTATATACATATGGGTAGCATTTATTGACACATTCCATGTCATCATGACATTCAGTCTTAAAAATAAAGTTGTAATAATGGTTGTAAGTTGTTTACAATGCATAATGCAATGCCATGGTATCATTGCTTTACACTCCACTTAAGACCAAGAAATCTTGCCTATATATATATTCAACAAGCTAGAGTTTGGCAATGGGTTTACGTACTGTCCTCAGTATAATTCTTGAGAATTTTGTTACATACAGATGACTCCACCAAAGAGTCATTCAGTAGGCCCTAGTGACCACACCTACTTTCCCCATTCCTTGAATTTGAGGGAAAATGTCTTTTTCTTTCTAATACTAGTATATTGACACTGTTATTATTCTTACTGATACTATAATTAATAATTGTTAATAAAATATTAACAACATTAAAGACAATAAAACAATATTAGTGAAGCTTTCAAAAAGTGAAGGAAAAGGGTAAACAGGTGAGATAGGCAAGACTAATAACTCTCCTTGGTGACTAAGCATTTGTAGTGCCATCAATATGTTAAGACCATAGATGAACTTTATTACAGTGAGCATGGCACTGTATTCTTGCCACCCACACCAACCGGGTTAACACCAGAGTAAACAGTATGTTTGTTAACCTTTGCTGGAGCATAGAGTGAAGGGGGGATCCCTGGACTCACCCAAGTTAGCTTTCAACTGCAGACTAAAATAACCAATAGTGCCTATACTATTACTTTCTCGTGATTATTTTCATCTGTAGATAGCGTTCTTTGATATCTATGACTAATACATTTCTTTGTTTTCAATTTTCTTATGTCACATTCTTAAAATTTACACGATATTATCCTTCTACATAAACTAAAGTGTCTTAAGAATGGTGATTAAAACTTCTAAATGGAAGTATTCACTCGCAATACCACTAAATGTTTAGAGAACCTATTTAAATTACCGACACATTTTAACCCATTCAGAAATTCCCAGGCAAATTATTCACTTCCTAATGCCATCTGCCTAATCAACCTCAATTCAGGAATATATACAAACGTTAAAATCACTTAATTATAGTGTAAATATTACCTTTTTTCCTGGAGAGTGAATGTAACACTGACTCAACACTCACGTCATCTCTGTTTACATGAAAGTAAAGGGGTTGCGAGCTCAAAACTTGTTCTCGGTAATTTTCGGGTCAAAATATTATCTTTATTGAAGATGTTAATTCATCACCATCATTATCTAACGTCCATTATAAAAAGCTTCTCCTAGTTATACTATTCCGTTGAATGAGAGGATTGAGGCGTGTTATCTTATTCATATAATCATAAATAAAATTATCCATAGTGATAAGAAATATCCCATATTGCTTGGTATTACGATGACCTATCTTTGGTCAAAATCCTCATTAAATATGAATATTCCTTATCTCGTAATATTATCTCTTATCAGTGTGAAAAAAACTACTGTCCACATCCTTTCCCTGCTCATATCTACATATCAAAGAGTAAAGTGATTATTTTATTACATACGTAGATACACAAGATTATGTTCTAACATCATGGTAGATAAACACAATGCACAAACTAGATTTATTGAAATGTGAGGCAACATTTTCGAAATCCTCTTTCATTTTAATCTTTTGGCTTGAGAGGAAAGGGAGAGAAAATAATATAAGAGTGAGAGAAGCAAAACGGCAAACGAAAGGCAGGAAAGGACAGGTAATCGGAAACGAAGGCAGATCAGGTCGAAGAATCAGATGGTCAATGCGAAGGGTGGCCTGAATATTGAAGTTATCTGAGGATGTGAGGAGCAAAATGACTGTCGACAAATGGGGGAAAATATACTATTAAGAAATTGGGCATCTGATTTATCAAGGAGGATCCCACCATTTGCAGTTGTAGACATCAGCAGAAGGAAA